CTCAACTCCCAGATGGAGGGGAGCTGTTGAGTAGAAGGAGGCAAATGCTGTTGGAGGGTCTGGCATCATCACTTCATCTAGTCGATCCACTTGGCAAAAATGGTCAGTCAGTGGATATAGCACCCAAAGATGATCGTGTATTCTTAAGGATTATCTCACTTCCCAAAGGTCGGAAGCTGTTATCGCGATATCTTCAACTTCTATTTGCTGGCAGTGAACTTAGTAGGGTGGTGTGCATGGCCATTTTCCGGAATCTGAGGTTTTTGTTTGGGGTCCTTCCAGCAGACCATGGAGCTGCTGAGACAAGTAAAAATTTGGCAAAAACTGTTTCATTGTGTGTTGGAGACATGGATCTGAAAGTACTTGCTGCCTGCCTTGCATCTGTGGTTTGTTCAACTGAGCATCCTCCACTCCGTCCCGTTGGAAGCCCTGCTGGTGATGGGGCTTCTATAATTCTGAAATCTGTTCTGGAGAGGGCAACAGAACTGTTAAGGGATCCTCATGCTGGTGCGAAGTGCGGCATGCAAAACAGAGCATTCTGGCAGGCGTCTTTTGATGCTTTCTTTGGTTTACTTACAAAGTACTGCTTTAATAAATATGACTCCATCATGCAATCTTTCCTAACACAGGCCCCACAGAACATGGTGAATAATGGGTCTGATGCAGCCATAGCTATTAGCAGGGAAATGCCGGTTGAACTCTTGCGGGCAAGTCTTCCTCATACTAGTGATCAACAGCGAAAACTGCTATTGGATTTTACACAACGGTCTATGCCTGTGCCAAGTACTGGTAATCAAAGCGGAGTAAATGGTGGCATGTGACCAAGGGCCCTTGGTCAATAGTGTAATAAATTTACCCTTTACATATTTTGTCAAGACACAAGAAGGTAATAATCTGTGGAGGCTCAGGACTTGGTCTATGCCCCCTCGATTCTGAACATGGAAGGTAGTATTTTTTTAGATATAAAAATGTACATGTTGAAGCTTGCACCTTCTTCAGTACTGGTGCTATGGGAAAAAGTTGTTAAGCTGGTTGGGTAGCAGCATGTATTATGGAGCATGCCATATGTGTTTTTTTTTTTTTTTTTTCAAAAATGTTTCTCCTAGTGGGAGCTTATTTTGATGCTCTGTGGTGGTGCTGTCTTTATTAGTAGTAGTAGAGATTTAGAAGGGGGTATAAATATTAGAGTATCCAAATGATGATGGGAAGAATTTTTACTACTTTGTGATGTTGAATGCTTTGATACAAGTAATTGATGTTTGATATATGTTTGTAGGTTATTCTGACATGCCCAATTGCCCATATTTTCATTATTTTGTTTTTGTTCCATGTTTCTTCATAGTCATAGTGCCACTGTCTGCCATGCCATCCATAATGGTGTGGTGTTTGTCAGTTTTCAGGTTTAACAATTTTGTTCAATACTCTAATTCTAAATCTATCCTCACGGACGGACCTTAAATCATTGTCAATTACCTTGTGATGGTCGCAATATTGCATTATCAAGCCATTCCCCAACCCCCCAGGGAAAAAATCTCTCCTTTGTTGTAAATATATCATAAGTGGCCATTATCCTACTTTTAACTGTTAAGAGTCTATTATTAGTAGTAGTTGTGTTACGGTAAGACTTGTATTATTGTATTCTTATATTATCTTTGTATCGGCTTGTTATTAGTCCCGGATTATTCTTCCCATGGCGGCGCTCGTTGGCAATTCGTCCAAATTCCAAACGGATTGTTTCCAATGCTGCTCTTTCGGCTCCGTTGTAGTCGAATGTCATTCTCTTCCTCCCATCATTTTATTATTAGTAGTTGTGTAACGGTAGAACTCGTATTTTTGTATTCTTATATTGGCCCTGTTTGGTAAAATGGCTGTTAGCTGATAGCTGTTAACTGTTAGCTGATTGTGTTAATTAGAGGGTATAAATAGTTGATAACATTAGCTGATTGTAGAAAAGTGTTTGGTAAATTAGCTGTTAGCTGATAGCTGTTTGGTATAATTTCTTTTCTCAAAAAGCTAATTGAAAAAGTTGTTTGGGGTAGCTTTTTAAATTTTAGCCTTTTGGAGTTGCAAAAAGCTAATTAACCAAACATTTATATTGATATTTTAACTAAATCAAACAATTAATAGTGATCAAATAAGCCAAAATTGACCTATAGGCCAATTTTTTACCAAACAGGGCCATTATCTTTGTAGTCATCTTAACTTGATTGAATACATTTTTTTTTCCCATGAATGTTGTATGTATATATACATTGGCAGTTATCAATAAAAATGGTCCTGAGCAGTTCTTGCATCTTTCGAGTCTTTCTTCATTTTCCTTTTCATTTGTATAATTTTGAATGTAAAATTGATACAAGGATACACTGAAATTACAATTTTTTTTTTTTTTAATCAAGGACAAAATTAATAAAATTTTAATAGTGGAGGACCAAATTGGGTATTAACTCTTTAAACAATTACACAATACAGGAGACACTTTAGGAGTTAGGACGAAGGCACGCTGAAACGATATGTATTAGAGTTTCAATCGACGTTTGCTTCACTTACTTGGAGCTTAGGTCTTTCTGTAACTATGTCTGATGACGTTCCTGAAAATCGTCTACCGGACTCCACTGAGGACGGGATACCTTCCGTTGCCGGCGACGGCAATGACGATGAGAGCAATACCTCAACTTCTCCCATGGGTATAGGCCTGTCCACCTTGATTTCATCTGTAATTAGGGAGTTCGATAGCAGAGCTGACGCCACTTCCCGCAGTCAAGATCAACTCTCCTTCGCCCTCGATCGTCTCACCGGAGGTCAAATGCCTGAATTCTTAGCAATTTCCTACTGCTTTTATATCGACTATTGTTTTACCAAATGAATTACGAATTAAGAAGTAGGGTTTTTTTTTAGCAGCCACATTTGTGCTTTTACTTGGTCGTGAATTGAGTATTTGAAATGCCAATTCCTGCTGAAAGTTCTCTATCGAATTGCATCACCAGTGTGTAATTATTTACCCGTCTTGCTAAACCTTTTGGGTTTGTTAAACTGACAATACGTTTTGGCAGAGCTTGACAAGCTGTTGGAGGATGCACCGTTGCCTTTCATCATGCAACATGCCGCTAGGATTTCTGGTGTTAGAAAGAGAGTCACATCTTTAAATTCAGTTTTGAAGTCTATACAAAGACGAGTCGATAATATAGACCGGATGCTGCTAGCAGGTTTGATGCAGGGTTCATTTCTTGGTTATCATCTATCCACTTATCATATCCCATGTTTCCTACATTGTGCTGTGGTTGATATGCATAGTTGCAGCAAAAATACTCTTGATTCTAACATAGTTTGTTGATTGTCAATGTGAAGTGCCATTAACTACTGTCAATGTGATATGCACATTAATACTTCATATTTCTACATCGGCGGTGCAAATTGCTAGGATAGGGGATTTAGTATGACTATCATACTAGATGTAGAGTTGGTGTTCATGAAGGCATGAGTGCTTATAATGAGATGATGGCAAAGGTTTTAGTTCTGGATGAATGTACGTACCATTAACCAGTGTGTGAATTTACATCATAACACTGACCTAGTTTTAGATCACTACTCTGTGATATAGATCCCGTAGTTGATGATTGGCTGACATTATTTGGAATATGGGAAGCTATGATCTAGAGATTTCCATCACAGAGTAATTTGATTAGGTCAGTGGTTTTGTTGGCAATAAATTGTATCCCTCAAATGAACATTGTCCAATCGGTGTAGCACTAATAAAACATTGATAGGTGAAAATGGAATCTTATTCTCTCCATTGTCATTTGAGATCTGCAAAGGATATATAGATGTTTTTGGAGTTAGGAATCCTCTTCTGTTTTCATCGGAGTATCACGTACCCTGTTATAAATTGAATCATAGCCAGTAATTTGGTTTAACTTTAGAAGGGAAGTTTCCTTTGGTATATGACTCTGATATGTTATTTTTTTGGACAATTGGACAATGATGCAATATGTGCACTTTGCTTTTGCATTTTAGTTGGTATCTACTGCCTAGGGGCTAGGCTAAAAATGTATTCATGACAAGGATAAAATTTAATTCACATTTTTTAACCTGCAGAAAACAAGATGGGAGAAGATGGTGGACAACATTAAGGGGTGTCATTGAAGAGGTAAAAACAGTTTCACACACACATATATATATATTATGTATTTAAAATATTAAGTAAATGCAATGGTACCCATGCAAGACATGGATATTATTCCATATTTGATATGATTGAGTTTGACCTTTTTGGCTGATTTATCAAATATTGGCAATTCATTAGTTACGGGTTTAAAAATTTGCTAGTAGCATGATAAAATTATTTTTCGTTTCAATTTTTTTTTTCTTTTTTTCTTTTTCTGTAGGAATAGTAATAAAACGAATTATTCGTCCAAGACAATTATGAAAATGAGGTTCAGAGTGTGGCAAGACCAGCAGTTAATATATTTCTTTGATTGTGATAATTTGATTTCTGCTGGCAGGTTTGAGCACGTTGCTTTGCTGCATGGTATGTTGGCCTCACCTGTTTGCTTGTGCTTGTCCTAGAGTTGCTAATGTGGTTGGGCAAAAGGATTGTGAATAATTATGATGGTGACTTGTGTGCTGTATGTGTAATTCCCAACATTCAACATGATAGTGCATGATTGTCATTGTTGCTTGACATGAAACTGGTTATTGTTCAATCACTTTGATTTCTCATTTTATTATTGAACCAACCCCCCAATGTAGAATCTGTCTTTACTTCTCTATATAATCGCCTCTTATTATTCTTGTCTAGAGGAGCTGGACACAGCGAGCGTATTGCCATATCTGGTAGAAGTGTCTAACACTGGGACTCAGGCAAGTCCAATGCTAGCTAGCTAGCTTATCGAATATTTTGTTGAATCGTTGGTTCATTTCTGTGCTTATATCTCAGGGTGGATTGATATATTCACTATATATTCCGTCAATATCTTGCCTTGTTTCCCATTCTTTCTCATCCTCCGTCTCCGATATGTGAAGATAGAACTCTCTCAAATGCACTCATTTTGTCGCCTGTCGGGTGGGTGTTTTTATCTTGGACTCATTTTGTCCCTCTCTTGTCTTTCTAATATGCAAAATCATTAGTCAACACCCCTCTCCTTTTTGTGCTTCTTTTGGGTTCTTGTCGGGTGGACTCAACGTGGCCTAAATTGAAAAATGTTATCAAAAAGTTTGGGACTTGGGTGCGAACTATAGTCTAAGAACAAGCATCAAACCACTTTCTTAATCCCCTTATCAATTCTCATCCCATCACCAAAAAGTTACTCCATATTACATATATTCTCTGTTTTTACTTCATTATTTTCACTCCCTGCAATTGGTTTATTTTTACCCTATTAGTCTCAATAAAAATATTAATATCAAAATTTTGTGCGTAGGAGTAAAAGTTGAAAGTGGGAGTTTGGTTACCAAAACTAAAATTATTCCGCTCTACTGTTTGGCGCCAAAGAATTTTCCATTCCATAATACTCAGTCACATCGCCTTGACCAAGCCGCCACGCGTCAATTTACAATTCGTTGTAAACAGTGGACCCACCGTACTGTTGTCCCTATCTATGTGCTCCTCTCCTCTCCTCGTAATGCACCACACTCCGTTAGCGTAACTACTCAACGCTATCCTCCTTCAAACCCTAGCGGCTAGCTCGCCGTGACAATACTGCACATACTATATTTATAATATATATCTCTGCATTTTCAAGGTGATTGAGATTCCCTTTCATATCTTGTTTATTATAGTCTACACCATTCATTGTCTTGCTTTTCAGCCGATAACAAGAAGTTGAATGAGAGCCAGCCATGGCGTCCGCCTGCGTCAACACCATTGGAATGTCGCCCGAATCCTTTCTCGACTGTCCTCCGCCTAAGTACCAGTCCTATGGTTGGTTGAGTCCGCGAGTTTCCTACAGTCGGGAGTTTCCGGCCGACTCGGACTCCACAAACACTGCCGGACCTAAGCATTCTTCTCTGTTGCCGGACAAGTGTGCCGCTGACGATAAGCTCGAGGACTCAGATCCCGCCAAAGATGTAGGAGATTTCGAGTTCCGCCTCGACGATCCGGCCATTATGCTTCCGGCGGACGAGCTCTTCTCTGACGGAAAGCTCGTGCCGCTACAGCTCTCGATGATCCGCCCAGTGGCGACGTCAGCAGCCATGCCAACGTCTATGGAGGTTAGATCGCCGGATACGCCCAAACTGCGAATCAGAAATGAGATTTGCGGTACGGATCCATACCTCTTCTCTCCAAAGGCACCTAGGTGTTCCAGTCGGTGGAAGGAGCTTCTAGGACTGAAGAAACTCTACCAGAACAGCAATGCAAAGCAGGATACTCAGAAGACATCTTCTTCCTCCTTGCAGGGCAACAACGGACATAAATCTCTGAAAAATTTCCTACACCGTAGTTCAAAATCTCTGCACACATCTATTGACGCGTCGCTCAGCCAGCCTTTGCTAAAGGACTCCGACAACGAGTCGGTATCGGTTTCCTCCAGGTTATCACTGTCTTCATCTTCTTCCGGGCACGAGCACGACGATCTCCCCCGTCTATCCCTCGATTCCGAGAAACCAAATGGTCACACTCGCAGTGCAAGTCAAAATATCAATCCTCCTCGAGTTCGTGTGGTGAAGCCGAGGGCGTTATCATCCGAGAATCCCACCGCCTCGCGAGTGGGCCGAAGCCCAATGCGGAGAGCAGCAGAAGCTACTACCTCCACGACACTCCGTGGTGTCTCTGTCGATAGTCCACGCATGAACTCATCCGGGAAAATCGTTTTTCACAGCTTGGAGAGAAGCTCAAGTAGTCCAAGCAGTTTCAATGGTGGTCCCAGATACAAGCACAGAGGAATGGAGCGGTCTTACTCGGCAAACGTTCGTGTCACTCCGGTTCTAAACGTTCCTGTTTGTTCACTCAGGGGCTCTTCTAAGTCTGGTGTTTTTGGATTCCCTTTATTTTCTTCTTCACAACCGAAGAAGGAATCCGGTAGCTCTAGTAGTGGAAATGGCGGTGGAAGCAAAGCCCACCAGAGTATCGCCAAGCACCGGACTGATCGTATCAAAGAATGATGATAAGTTCTCGTACAAGAGTACGGTAATTCGATCTCAACTTTTTTTGCAAAAAGAAAAAAAAATATTTCCCATATTGCTTCTGCCTTTTATTAACTCTTAGATTAGATGGTGAGTGTTGTATTCGGTGTTGAATATTTTCCTTTTTTCTAGACTCAAATCATGTAAATAGGTAGATTTCCCCCCCTTTTTTTTTTCGTTGGCCTATGCTAATGTTGATGTTGAAGTTGAAGTGAAGTGATTAATTTAATTTTGCCGTCGGCATTTTGTGAATCATGATCGCCATCATGTTCTTCCTAACTTAACTTGCTTTACCAGAAAGCCATGCGAATCTCTGATTCCCTCCCCCACCCACCTTTTCATAAAGTGGATGCATAATAGCATGATGTGAAACTGAAGTGTAGTTTTGTGATGTGCGCGGACGCGCCGGGGGGAGGTCGTGACTGTGAAATTTATTTGATGTTATAGCAGCAGCTGTTGCATCTGCATCTGTAGGGGAACATTGACATGCATTTGCTTGTTTGTATGTACTTTGCTAATATGATATTTGCTGTGCTGCTCTTTACTGGTATTTCTTTCTTCAATTATTGGGATTTTCTTTATTTTATTTTTTTTGGGAATGATGACCCGATTTTGAATTCTTCGTCAGACTCTGCCAACTATGCTCTTCTTTTCCCCGTCAGTCTGATCCCATCCCATTTTCCTCAGTTTATGCTTTTTATTATCATAACATTTCAAAATGCAGCATACTATTGAGAGAGATTTGAGGACGGCCAAGCACTTTGTTTTTTATATTCTTGCTTAAATTAAAGCTAGGGAGTAATATTTATATACAGTAGTTTTTGGGTGGTATTAGTGATAGTGTCCCTACCCATAGGGAGGGGGTGAGTGTAAAAAACAGTGGTAATAAAGGTTTCCCATGTGTGATCCCTGGGCTGTGAGTTGGGCGCAGGGGTGGGGGGTGAGTTGTTAATAATATATGTATGAAGAAAGCAGTGCTTCAGTTGTCGTTGTCTATGGGGCGTGGGGTGGCGTAGCCAGGCAGGTTAAGGTCGCTGCAGAATTTGTGATGGCTTAGCTGTCGCGCTGCTACAACACTGGTGTTTGATTTGACGTCAAGGGAAAAGCGTAACAGATTATTTATTTTTTATATATTAAAGAAATGTGAAATTACTTAAGAGTGTAGAGTGTAGTAGGTGTGAAGGAAGGAACAGCGAAACCCCTGGGCCTGGGTAGCTTGGCTAGCATCCTCCTACACTTTTATCGTTACTATAGGGTCTGGGTTGGGCAAGGGCGGTGGGGATGAAGTCCAGGCAGCTCTGGCGTGACGACGAAATATGGTCCCCCCATATTTTGGATTGTGTTAGCTAGCTTCTACGGTCCGGTCCGGAGTAGGTTATTATTCATCTCTTTCGCTGTGGCAAGTGGCAACCATAAATATTTACCGTCTGTGTGTGTGTGTGTGTCTGGGCTTGGAACTTGGAAGAAGACTTTTGCAAATTTCTTTCTTGTTCCGTCCCGTGTATAGTAGGATGGAAGGAAGTGTAGGTGAATCAGCGAGGGAAGAGGGGCTAGATCTATCGCCAAAAAATGTACAGTACTCTACTCCGTAATAAATTTTAAATCTCAATAAGTAACTAAGTATCCGTTGGGGCACATGCATGATGCATGATATGATGGCCCGCCCAGTGGAGTCTTTCCTTGAATTCATACAATACAATGCATGCTCGGTGAGTGTGCAAATGCTTTATTATTCTGTGGCCATTCCACACTGAACTGTCGTTAATGGCCTCTTTCTCCATCACACTTGCCTTCCTTTTTTGTTATTACATTACATACTCTCTCATATACAATTAATTACTATTAATAAAGCTGTACAACATTTTATGGTTTTCTTTTATCTATATTAAAAAACAAAACACTTTTTAAAAAAAAACTCAGAAAAGAATCCTCAGGGCCAGCTGAAAAAAGATTGAAAAACGTGACTTGTGAACTGTCCTCTCTGTCTCTCTCCTCAGATTCCTCCACCGGCCACCATTACTAACTCTTGCAACTGCACCAGCAGCTAACCTCTTTCCCCCACGTTGTTGAATTCTCACGCCAAATTTAAACAACTAACATTGTAGCCGGCCGTCTTCGTCGTCGTAGTCGTAAAATCTGCAACCGGGGCCGGGGGTAGTTGTAGTCGTCGCAGTCGCAGAAAGCATGGTGCATATAGCTGCGCTTGAGTGTACGGTATTTTTTGTTGTTTTGTGTGGGTCGCAGCGATAATGAAAAAGGTGAGATTGTGACGCTAACAGATTGGTGTCCCACTCCTTCCCTCCCACCCATTGCTTTTTAGCTGGACGCACAGTATCGCTCACATTATCCGACAAATTTAACCCTATTCAATTCTCCCCTACTTCTGTACAACAACATATCCAAAATAGTAACTCTTCAGATTCCTATATCAATCTCATCATCACACACCCAATCCCATTCAACACTTACATTTAAACAAACCCTAGATAAACCAGATTGTTAATACAATTACATTAGATTTTGGGTTAGTTAGTTGGATCCTAATACGATTATCTCATCCAAAATGCAATTTTAAAACAAAAATCCATACATATTACTACATTATTACTGCATACTTCAATTTTTCCATTTTTTCTTTTAGGTGTGTTTGGTAAATTGTTTATAGTCGTTAGCTATTAGCTGATGAGTTAGTGAGTTTGAATAGTTGATAGCATTAGTGGATTGTAAAAATATGTTTGGTAAATTAATTGTTAGCTTATAGCTTATTACACAAAATGACTTTCTCACAAAACTTAAGGAAAAAGAAATTTTTAGTAGCTTTTTGAAGCAATAAGATGTTACAAAAAAACTAATTAATCAAGCACTTATATTGAATGTTTAACAAAATCAAACAGCTAATAATGAATAATGATCAAATAAGTCAAAATTGACTGATAAGCTAAATATGTTACCAAAGAGGACCCTTAATCTTTTACTTATGGTGAATGGTAAGGAAGTATAAGAGAATGGGTCTGAAACAAGCGACAAATTATTATGTGGATAATGGTCCATACAATGTTGGGTGGACCAAATATATATATATATATATATATTATGATGTACTCAAATAATGTACTCAACGCAGTAATGTGAAATATGGTTCACACAATAATGTCTCGAAACAAGCCCGGCTGGATGATACATTAAGAGGCCTAATAAAATTGGGCCTGAAACAACGAATTTCTAATGCTATTGGGTTGGGCTACCTTTCCAAGAAATATGGGCCCAAATGCATACTCAAAAAAATCAGTAATGTATCTTCTTCATTGCGCTTAGGAGGCGTCTGCATAGCTTCTACTGGGAACGCTCACCCACCCAAAAAAAGAAAGAGAAGCACTCCATTGGTGTTTGAGTACTAACATAACATAGCAGAAAATGAGTTTGATTTCGCAGTTAAATTCCCATTACTTTTACTCCAAACTTCATTATTATCATCATTCGCCGTCGCCGAGCTGTGCTCCTTCAGTTCAACGTCGTACGGAAGTCTGTTCTTTGCCACGCCGCTACTCCGCGAAAGCGAAACCAAGGATTAGGGTTCGCTCGGAATTCGATGCTAAAGTCAATGGAGTTCTCCCCTCTGATTCCGACCCTCGTTTCCTTGACCGGGTTTGTTTTCTTTTTGCTCGCTGTCTTCTGGGGTCCTGATTTTTGCTTCTCCCTACTTCTATATGTATCTGGTCTAGTGAGAGTGAAGTATTATGGTTCGTTATTTCAGTCATACGTTTTTTTCGTTTGCTTTTACCATGTATTTTACATTTCAAGAATTGTTTCAGCAAAAAGCACTGGAAGCAGCAATGAATGATATAAACAGCTCCTTTGGCAAAGGAAGTGTTACACGACTGGGAAGCGCTGGTGGAGCTCTAGTGTATGTGTTTTTCTATTAGCTTAGACCACCACCTCAAGCCTCACTGTGATAACAACCACGTGGCACATACATAACACATGTTTGCTACAATTGAAATTTATTAGTATATATAGCTGCTGCATATTTTTGGTATTGCAGACTGGAAGGCCTCCAATATTTGACAATTTAAAGTGAAGTAGAACATAAAATACTCCCTAATATAGGAGCCTCTGACTGTCTTCTGTACACTCTGTTTATCACACACTTGGCAAGTCAGATGCTTTATGCTTGTCTCCTCATAACTCGTAACTATTCCGTTATTGTTTTTACAGTTGTTTCCATATTTTTTATTCTGCAGTGAGACTTTTCCAAGTGGCATTCTGACTTTGGACTTTGCTTTAGGTGGTGGCATTCCCAAAGGGAGAATTGTTGAGGTTTATCTTTCATTACCTGTCATCCTTTCCCTTTTGGTTCTTTGGATGAATGCTCATGTATTTTAGAACAGTTCTTTACTCTGTTTCCATAACCATTACCATTGATGCTTCAATTCAATAAGCTATATTGATGGCTTTAACATTCTAAATCAACGCATGGTAGGACCAAAAGCCACAGTTACGGCTGTTTCATGAAGCCTACACAAATTAATACGCAGTATTTAATAATGAAAATATGTTTAGAGTGATAAAGCTTAGATTTTGACATTTTTCATAATATTAAGTAGTCAATATAATGCTGATACATTTTTATACTTTAAGGTGAACAGAGTATCATTTGAAGCATGAATATTGGCTGCATCATTTATGCTTCTTGTTTCATTTCAGATATATGGGCCAGAAAGTAGTGGAAAGACCACCCTAGCACTCCATGCTATTGCAGAAGTGCAGGTCCAGTATGTATTTCATTTTATTTCATTATAACAGATACACTTGTGCAGGAAGTTTCCTATACAATAGAGTGTCTCCACAAACACTGCCTTCCCCCTGGCCCCGCCCAACTCTCAAATGGATGTTGGGCTTGAATTGGGGGAAGGGGGGGGGGGGGGGTGAGTATTTCTGTGTACATATAATATGGTGTAGCAAGATATATTTAGGGAAAAAAAATCATTGAGAAACAAACAGGAAAGAAAAAGATGACGATAATCTACTGAGGTGCCACACATACCATTGCATTGTCTCTCTATTGAATTGGTTAATGATATGCTTTAGTGTGCTGCAAAGATTTTTCACATGTCAATGTTGTTTATGCAGAAACTAGGTGGAAATGCTATGCTTGTTGATGCTGAGCATGCATTTGATCCAGCATACTCAAAAGCTCTGGGAGTCGATGTTGAGAATTTGATTGTCTGCCAGCCTGATAATGGGGAGATGGCTCTTGAAAGTAAATGTTTCCCCAATTTTTGGCAATAGTGTTCTCATCAATGAGTGGTATATCTTGTTAAATTACAAACTCTCTTATTGTCTCAGTTGCAGATCGCATGTGTAGATCAGGTGCTGTGGATCTGATATGCATAGATTCAGTCTCAGCTCTCACTCCACGTGCTGAAATTGAAGTATGCCACATCCTTATTTTTCTTGATTTCTAGGAACAAGTTCATCTGCTGATCCTGATGTTTGTTGTATGTAATTTATGTGTACTTGCATAGGGAGAAATCGGAATGCAGCAAATGGGTTTGCAAGCACGGCTTATGAGTCAAGCTTTACGTAAAATGTCAGGCAATGCTTCCAAAGCTGGATGTACGCTTATATTTCTAAATCAAATACGGTACAAGGTACCATAATTAGGCTTCAGTTCATGCATGGGGATGAGCTTTTCATAATTTGGGCATTTTGTATTACAGACTCTGTAATATTACTCCTCCGTTTGGTTTAATCAGATAGGTGTCTACTATGGAAACCCTGAAGTCACTAGTGGAGGAATTGCATTGAAGTTTTTTGCATCAGTCCGACTTGAAATCCGTCCTATTGGGAAGATAAAGTCTGTAAGTACATTGCTTACTGATTTGATTAATATAACCCTCTATTATGAGTTGTTCAAATTAAAGTTTTGGGTTAAACATTTTGTTATTTGGTGTTTTAAGGCCAAAGGAGATGAAGAAGTCGGATTGAGGGTGCGTGTAAGAGTTCAAAAGAGTAAGGTAAACTTTATTCATATTTCCTAAATTTTGAAATAGCCAAACATCAGCATGTTTTTATGTGTAATTTTCATCTTAATTTCTGTAATCATGGTGATGCAATATGTTTTGAAATTCTCTGAATATACATACTATGTTGTTAGGAATATTGAGAGTTTTCGGTTAATGTATGTTACACCAGGTGTCAAGGCCATACAAGCAAGCAGAGTTTGAAATTACTTTTGGAGAGGGAGTGAACAAGCTGGTTCGTATGGAAGGACAATGTGTCTTAAATAATCTCAATTTCTCCCACGCTAATTGTGAGTCATTTTGTAGGGTTGCATACTGGATTGTGCTGATGTAATGGATATTGTGTCAAAGAAGGGTTCATGGTATAGCTATGGTGAGCATAGGTTGGGACAGGGTAGAGACAAGGCATTGCAGTACCTGAGAGAAAACCCACTTCTTTCTGAGGAAATAGAGAAGGTAAATGCTCCTCTCTCCAAATATTAGTCTGACCTGATGACATAGAGGATGTAAAGAAAATTTTCCACAACCTTTGAAGATTTTGCACAAGAAGATATAAAAACCTTTGTGGCTTTACTTTCAATATTAGGTTGCAAAAGAATATATATACATGTATAATAATCACATTGTGCATTAATCAGTGTTGAAGATTTTGTGGTATATACACAATAAAAATTTGAGGTGGTGCTAAATAATGAGAATATTTGGGGATAAGTAAAGAGATAATATGGATTTGGTGCATGTGTAGATTGTTCGATCATCAGTGGTAGAAGGATCTGGGCAAGTAGGGTCTTCTTTCCTGAAGCACTCACTGCCACTGCATGAAGATGAAGATATATTTGAAGAGATGCAATGAAAAGAATGAGATATTCAGGTTTGGGTGGTCCGAGGTTGTCACTGATGGATGTTTGTGAACATCCGGAGCAAGCAAGTAGATAAAAATCTACTTATTTTATGCAGTGGTAGACACCATTTTGTTGAAGGTAGGCTTTTTGTGGTACTTGAAGTAAATTGGCATTTGGCAGGGAGAAGAAGATGGGTAATGTGTTGGAGGTGGAAAGGGGAGTGCTTTGCTTTGAGATGAACAAATTATGGGTGTATTTTGTACAAGAAAGCAAATCATATTGCAACATTCAAATGTGTTGTAATCCAAGGCATTTGTTAACATAATTTGAGTTTTATAATGTGATGTGATGTGATATTTTAAATTGTAATACACTATTATTTTTGTTGAATAGCAATGGGTTTGTAGTATTAATTTCCTGGAAGTGGTGATTTCCACGTTGACAGGTGGGTGTGCACACGTGGACTGCTTCGGGCTACGACGTTGATAGTTGCAGCAGCAACATTGCCCTGTACTGTACGCTCTTTAAGTTTAACACCTTCCATCTGTTTCGTAGTAATGGAAAATATGGAAATGGTGGTCCACTTCAACTCCCGGATCGGGTCGTTATATCATAGACCGTGATAAAAAATGGCGCTGTTATAGTTAACGGAGTCCGCTTGTTTGGTGTATTAAACACCAATTGACACTACAGTATATCTAAACCGACACTGTAGTTATATCAAAATGATACTGTAGTTATAGTGAAATGAAACTGCAGTGTATATAAAATGAAACTGAATAACATTTCACATATTTGAGTGTATATTGTACAATGAAACTGTAATTATATTAAAATGATCATGTAGTTGTGTTTTAATGAAACTATAGTGTATATATAAAATAAAATTAAATAACATTTTCACATATTTGTGTCTATAAATATCGAATGAAACTATAGTTATATCGAAATGAAATTGTAGTTGTGTTGAACTGAAATTGCAGTGTGTACAAAATGACACTGAAAAACAGGGTTACTTTTTGTAAAAGGGTGCAAAACGGTGGAAAACAAACACTGTTTATTTTCATTTAGAAAAAGACGCGCGGTGCTTGATTGACCATTCACCGTGGTGCATGATATAATTTGCCCCGGATCCGGATTGGTTTCAATATCAAAATTGGACTATTAATTAAACATAACATTACGGATTTATGGATAATTTGACAGCACAGTCCAAAACTCAAAACCAAATAATGAATGGGCCATCACCTGGACACCCTACACTTGCCCCGCACTTTCATCACAACACTATTTCTTATAAGTTGTTACTAAGCTCAAAACGATTACCACCACTCACTCACCTTCTAACTTCTAACCGTTGTGAATGAACTACTATTTAAGTTTTGATTCTGAATGGAATATGACTATACACATACACATAATTATACTCAAAAGCGCTTAATCAATTACTTACCGTTCATGAAATAAATTATTTGAATCCCAAATTTTCCATGAAATATGACATTACACTCTAAGAGCATCCCCATTAAGGGAATTGTTCACAGTTTTTTTTCCTCTTCTCCCATTTTCTCTTTCAATCACACTTACAAAAATTCTTCAAAAACTATAATAAAATTTCCACTATTGAGGATGCTCTAAGCCTTTTGATAAGTACTATAATCTCCTTGTAATACCATCTTAGAGCAAGTTAATACCAATGATTCCGGACCACTTTATTAGCTTATTTTCTTTCTTCTTTTAACATTTAGTTAAATTTAGTATCTTAAGGATGTTGTTAACTACCTTAAATGGTCACACTTATAATAACAATTACTTGAAAATTGAAATCGGAGAGAAGTAGTGAGCAATGATGTGTTGGGGGGTTTTAATGTTTTAGTGTTCTTTGACAATTGAATGCCAACAACATGTAATTATTGTGGATGCAGCATGTTAGAGGCAAGATTTAATGTGTTAGTTTAAATACAACTGTACCGTGTTCACTGATTTTGTACCACTACTATTATTATTATTAATTAATGCATAAGTGGCATTTGATAAACACATGTAGACAGACATTAATGTGAAATTATTGCCAGATTTTGGTTGTTTCGTGGTTTGTTTAATCTCAAAGTTGTGTCGGCATGCGACCAAGGAATGTGAGTGAGGTGGATGGGGTTTCCACCCAATTTTGTGAGTTTGTGAAATTAATGATCAGATCATCACATATTTATATAATTTGAGACAATCTAATAAAATTGGTCAGATAATTAATTTGTTAACATTTTGAATTAGTTGTTCTCAGAACACACTAGCAACAACGAGTTTTTTCATAAATTACAAATTGCGGGCAACTCAATTGGTCACAATAATAAAGCTTGAGAGCAATGACTTGAGACCTTGTACACACTAGACAAATGTTTACACTCTCTCAAATGCTCTGTGGGACTGGGACGTTAAAAACTCCAGACCAGGACGTTGGGAACATTTGGGTTAGGGTTTCAACCCATGAACAACAAGAAATTACAAATTTAAGTAATTTCTTGACAAATTGAGGACTATAACAATAGTTAAGGTGGCAATGAGAAGAAATTGAAAGCAATAAATGGAGTAATGGAGGCGTGAGCAGAGATACTGTACTAACTACATTTGGAAATAATTAATATAAAGAAAAACCAGAGCATCAAGTAGAGATAGTGGATAACCAAAGGAAAAGGAAAGCAGAGGAAAATGGGTCCCGACATCCATCATTACATCTTATTAAGATAAACTACCGTAATATATCCCCAAATTTCACTCTCTTTCTCTTTCTCTCTCTCAACATTATTCCTTTTCCTCTTTTTGAAACTTTTTAACCTTATGTTACTGGCTTTTTCACAAGCCTCCTCATAAAAAAAAAAGCCTAGCTGAGGTGCTTAGGGTTTCGTCTACCCCGCAGTAAGAAAAAGGAAAGCAGAAAAACCACGGGTCAAAAAGATCTCAACATTACAACTTAGGAGCAAGTATTCCATCTTTACACTTGTGTGCGTATCCATATTTCTGGGATTTGGGGTTGGGTTCGGCAATTGTGTTGGCGCAAGATGTAGTCTTGGCTAAAGCGGGGAACTTGTGATTTTTGGAGTGGAAAAAGTGCTTTTCCAGAGACGTATGGGTGAAGCAAATTACACACTTCTGTAGCTCTGTGTTTTGTTGCTCACCTCATTAAATGCTGCAACTCTAACTCCGTGAAGATGGAATCTCCCGGATCTCTTGCTCGCTTATTTGTGCCACTTTGTTGCTAACCAAATGTGAGTCTTGCTTCTGTATTCTTTCCGGGCCATTTCCATTTGTGAGATTAGAAGATTGATTTACATTTGTGGTAGTATGGGTTTGCTTGGCGCCATCAATTTACAGCAATGGAGATTTAGAATTTTCCGGGATCAACATGATGGGTATCGATAGCGGGTGGGCGATCAGTGGATATTTGCTCTTTCTTTTTCCAGAATTTACAGAACTGAAGTGATTTTTGCTGACTTTAGTTGTAGTTTATTAGTGATGGAGGATATTGGGTTGTTCAAGCAGGCATGGATATGGGTGCAGTCAAAGAAGGATTGTTACTCTGTCGTGAGAACGACTGCAAGCTGTTTAAGGGACAAAATCGTGAAATTTATAGAGAGACATTGGCCGATGGTCTGTTACTGTTGTGTGAGATTGGCAAAGGTTGTATTGATCTTGATAAGTTGCTGGAAGGATTGTATTGTTCAGGGATTTCGGTCGTTTGTTGGGCTTGGATCTGCAGCTTTACTCGTTATTATGTGGAGTTGCTTTCTGAGTTTAACGTCAATGTCATGCCTGGTTTATGTGCTTCTTAGTATGGTATGCCACTATGTTCTTTTAACTACTGTCTTTTTCATTTGTTTTGTTTTCTTAAAAATGGTAAGATCTACATTCATATCATCAATTTGCCTATTGTTGTTTCTTATATGCTACATGTCATATTAATCATGAATGAACTGGCTTATCCAACAAATCTAAAGCACTATTTTCCCAAAAACAATCAAACTTGTAAGTAAGCAAACAACAAATGCAGTGAATTGAAGCAATGCAGATGGTAAACAATCTTCGTTTGAAACATTCAACTAGATTGATCAACTCTACTAATTCAACTCGCCCAATTTTTGCACCCAAGTGGGAGGTTCATACTCGGCAAAAGAGACGAACCCATTGTGATTCTTGTTGTAAACCTCCATCTCTCTCTTGGTTCACTGCAGCACCTCCTTCCTACATTGCTCCAAATTCCAGAGTCAATGCTCACTCACATACCCATCTGGTGGGTCAGTATCAAGCTTTCTTTGGGAACAGGGGGAGCCAACTAGTCATATTGAATTTCTCTTCTTCATTTAGATAATCCTTAGAATCCATGAAGTCCTCGTGCTCTTTGGGGCCATGTTTGATGTGAGCCTTCAGCCACTCTTAACAATAAAGGAAATGATTAAAGATTTAAGTACTGAATATGGTCTAAATTTGCTTTAGTAATTTGGTATTCTAATGTTTCTCTCCGTTACAACAAGTTTGTTCCAGTCATCTCTTTTCTTAAAAACCTTGCTACCTAATCTATGCCTTTCTTATTTTCCACTGAATTTGTAGTGTCTTGCTTTTATGTTTTTTTTTTTTTTTTGGTATTATGCAGTGCGGTAATTTAACCTTAATAATGTGTTATTGGGCTTGCTTTTCAGGGAGCCGCTGGGGCTGCTATTCAGTATTTAGGCTATACTTCTGGACTTTTTATTGTGGGCCTATTTTCTATTTTAATTTTGTGGATGTATGCAAACTTTTGGATAACTGGTGCACTGTTTATAGTTGGAGGTATGGTTCTTTTCTTGCATCATATTACTACAGGTGTAAATGTGTGTGTGACTTATCAACACATGCATGCATGTATATGCTTAAAACATGAGTTTTCAAACATAAATCCCTTCAATTTATGGAGGAAAGGTCTGTCTCATAAAATATGGGCGACCTTGCTAGTTGATGGAGGAAAAACCAATAGAGATGCTCCTTAAAAGAACCATATAAAGGACCATGGAAGTATGGCTATTATGTGTTGGAGCACTAGTCTTTGGGGTCTGATTATGAGCACACACAATAAAAAGGCCTAACGTACTTTTGGGCCTAAATCAATGTGTTGGAAGCCATGTAGGTTCTAGATGCATTTGGATCTCTTCCCTGGGACCTGAGTTGTCAAGTAAAACTGCGATTCAATTTCCCATTTTATGGTTCCAATTGTTATAAATTAGTATGGTCCAAGTTCTTTACTTGCTTGCCGCATTCTTTTCACTCTAGATTCTTTTCATACAGGTTATCTATTTTCCTTAAATCATGCAAGGCTGGTGGTTCTGATGGCAGCTGTATATTCTATTTACTGTGTTAAAGTTCGAGTTGGGTGGCATGGAGTTTTCATCTCTATTAACCTTGCATTCCTCTCAAATGGCATACTTAACTACTTGCTTCATTGGTGTGACAACTTGAGTGAAAGCAGTCAAAGCACCCATTTTGAGCAGCATATTGAACCCGATTCCTTCACAGAGGAAGACTTCTCTACCGATTATGAATCTTCTGTTCCTAGCGATGACACTGAAAAGGTGCATTCATGCAAATCATCCAGCCAACCTGCTATTACTACTACATTAGTGAACAAGCCGAAAGAACCTCCTGCCAAGCAAGTTGCCAAAGAAGACACAAATTCATTAGCTGAGATGCAGCGGATTATAAGCAGTGCTGATCACTATGAAGCAGTAGGATTTTCTCGCCACAAGAAAATTGACACTCTCCTTTTGAAAAAGGAATATCGGAAAAAGGTACACTACTATCACTTCATGTATGAAAACAAAAAGTATCATTATTTTTAGTTCACTTCTGATATTCCTGTGTGTGTGTGCATTTTTTTTCCTAGAAAATCTTGCAAATTTACTCTTATCTGCATGTAGTTTTGCTGTACTTATTTTCCTGCTAATTATGCTTTTAGGCCATGCTTGTGCACCCTGATAAAAATATGGGAAGCCCACTTGCAAGTGAGTCATTCAAGAAACTTCAGTCTGCCTATGAGGTAATTGTTTCAGTACCGATTTAATATTAGTGCATTGCCACTGCCTTTTTAATTTTTGAAATGGAAGTTTGTAGCTTAGAATTACATGGTGGTGTTCAGGTTCTTTCCGATGCTGTTAAGAAGAGGGACTATGATGAGCAGCTCAGGAAAGAAGAGGCTAAGACTGTCATGCATAAATCAGCAGGGTGTTCTCATCAGGTACAAGATCCAGTAATATCCCTCCGATGGCCTGTTTTGTTTCAATTTTCAATCATATTGTCTTTCTTTAAACGTGAAAAATCAGCCATGAAATTGCATAATTAACTTATATATGTGGTGCAGGACACTTCTGATTACTGCTCTGAAGAATCTAGGCGTATACAGTGCACAAAATGTGGCAATTCACACATTTGGGTTTGCACCAATAGGACAAAGGCCAAGGCCAGATGGTGTCAGGTCGAACTTCCTCTAACCCACATTTTGTATAATTATGCACAGTGCCTCTTCCCTCGCTGAGCTTGTTACTAATTACTAATTAGAGCTACGTGGGTGCAGGATTGCTGTCAGTATCATCAAGCCAAAGATGGAGATGGATGGGTAGAATACAGAGGGTCATTGGCCTTCGATCGACCTCAAAAGGTATTCTTCTTTTAATATTTGAAAAAAAAAAACGTTCTTTTTCTTCCGTTTTATTGACCTGGCTATTTATGATGTATTATAAAAATAGATTCTGCAACAAAATGTTAATTATTTACAATTTGACCTTGCTACTATCCTTGATGTGCCTGTGCAGGTGGAAATACCACGGGCTTTTGTTTGTGCAGAGAGCAAGATATTTGATGTCTCAGAATGGGCCATATGCCAGGTGAATATGCCACTGAAGTCTTCCTGCTATCAACAGCTAGTGAATTTAATGCTAATAAGTTGAAGTGCTCTTTTATTGTGCAGGGAATGGCTTGCAGACCAAATACTCATCGCCCAAGCTTCCATGTGAACATGGTTGGATTGGAGAAATCAACCCAGAGATCCAATTCAAGCCGATACCAATGGGATCTGGATGCTGAGATGACAGATGAAGATGAAGAATTCGAGCTGTGGCTCCAGCAAGCAGTAGCATCTGGACTTTTTTGCGAGACCCCCAAGCGCAGAAAGACTTGGAGTCCCTTCAAATTGAATCAGATGAAAGGAAAGAAGCAATGGAGGCGATTCTCATAACTCATATTCATCTGTGGCTTCAATTGGTAACAGTAGTCCTGAGTAGATCTATCATGCTCTCTGCAGCAGCTACTGTAATCAAAGGGGAAAGAAAGCTGGGATGACGAAAAAACTCTAGTTGCCAGCTTCTTGACACTGCCACCGTATTCCTGAGAATCTCATCAAAATGAAGATGAAAATGACTGGGATGACTGAATCAAGTATAAACAACTTGTTTTACCTGGTCCATTGTAAATAACATCGGGTTTTCTCGCAGCTTTTCTTTAGCTGCAGAGTTTTGTGGTTTCTAGTCTACACCAATGGACTATGATCACCATTTCTAAGCTTGTACTATCCATTCAGGCATAATAATTGTTTCCCAAAGTTGAAAAATCACTAAATAGTGCTGCTGCATTTCAAATTGCATGCATTCCTCTTTATCCCAATCTTGAGTAGAATTGCTTTGAATTCTTGAAAAGAACATTGGAATGCCAATGATATTGGTCCTTTTCTAAACTTACATTATACTATTGACTTTTTTTATTAAAAAATTCTTTCATTGTGAAACTAATACAAATTCGATTCAAGTCACAAGTGCAGAACTCTTTAATATGAAGCACACAGACAAGAGTGCAATTTGCAACAGATCATCTTGCTTTGAACCCTGTAACAAATCTCTTGATACCACCAAAATCAGATCATCTTGCTTTGAACCCTGTAACAAATCTCTTGATACCACCAAAATCAGATATAATCTTAACGTTGGAGAAGACTCCTTTACTTTGTGTTTCCATGTAACCAGCAAGAAATTTACTCTGTTCCTCACCATTTGTCTGCATAAAGACACAGAACAATGTAAGACTATGTAGCAAAAAAACAGGAATCAACTCTTCCAGGACTAAACTGGTCTACCTCGAATGCAAAGAAGCCGCCCGGTTTCAACACAGAAGCAGCTCCCTTGCAGAGATGCAGAAGGTCGTCTAAGCCATTCGCCCCGCCATCCAATGCAAGTTTTGGTTCATGTTTAGCAACTTCAGCTTGCAAACCACTAATATGTTCACTTGGAATGTATGGTGGATTGCTTACCAGCCCAGCCAATTCTCTTCCTTCATCCTTAAGTGGCTCAAACCAAGATCCTTGCTTTACTTTGACTCTATCCTGATACACAAACACCTGTCCCTTATCTTTGATATATCAAGAAATACAGTCCTAAATATACAAAGTACTAAACTTTTTTTATTTTTGGTCACACCCACTGAAGTCTGAACTTCACTAACCTGCAAGTTATATCTGTGCACATTTGCAGAAGCAACTGCAACAGCAACTGGGCTCAAATCAATGGCAACAACCATTCCAGAAGGCCCCAAAATCCTAGCAAGCCCTATAGCAAGAGCCCCACTTCCAGTACCCAAATCAGTCCATAATCCTTCCCTCAAGTGTTCATCTTCCTTGAGCACATTATCCACCAAATCCACAATCAGTTCAGTTTCAGGCCTGGGAATCAACACACCTTCTTGAACACCCAACACCAAGTCTCTCCAGTGTTCACACCCAACCACATACTGAAATGGCCTTCTGTGTTCTACCCTCTGCTTCCACATGGAATAGAGATCATCCAAACATGCCCTTAGTGACACAGGAGTGGCATCCCGGTAATTGGATGAGAGTGCTTTGGGGTTTTGAAGCGCATCTTGAAGCAGCCAGTTGAGCTCTCTGAGCAAGAGTGTGGAATCTGGGCCGTTGTCCAGGTCCAAGAACGTGGAGCCCACGGAGGAAGCTAGGGTTTCGGCCCAAAGGTGCCATTTTTTCAGCTCTGACACGGTGGCGCTGAAAGCTGCCGGCCTCAGGTACAGCGGCGTTTGCGGCTTTGGGCAGCACGAAATGCGCCTGCGCGGATTCAAGCGAATAAATAAAGGCGGGAAGACTGATTCTTGTCGCCATTGATTTGGTTGGAAGAAGGTAAGGCGGAGGATTGACGCGAGAGGCGACGCACGTGTGAACCCCATCCGCAACCTCATCTCATCTCTCTCGCTTGCTTGCTTGCTGTCACTGACTTTTTTCTGCTACCAAACATTGAAAATTAACTAATCTTTTGTGGGTCAACTTTACTATTCCACAAGATTCCAGAACTGAATTTAGAAAATTTTACTGCGTAAAACATAGATTCTTGAAGCAGCCCGCTTGACTTTGTCGTCATCCAAATTTATGTATAAGCTTTTCTTGGTTAGTTGAACAACAAGATTTGCAGGACCCAACGTCGGATCCTCCTTGTTCCAAACATAACATCGGATTCCCTCGCTATTCCAAAGGATTTCTTGTCTCGTTATGTATAATTATTATTTTCGTATTTACACAATGATATTACTTTATGCATTATTTACACATATAGTATTTCTTTTTTTATTTATTCATTACAACTTACCTTTATAAGTATTAAAATAGACATCTAGCGCCTAGCGGGATGAAAAATAATAGACTAATGAAATTTGTAGAGATTTATAGAAATTTTTAAAAACTTATTTGAAATTATAAAATTAGTCCGTAGAGTAAATTTTATTTTATGAAATTAGTTTGGAGATATTAATGTACTTTTTTTTAAGGTAAATCAAATAATTGATTTATAAAAGAACGAACGAAACAAAGTCAGTAATAACAAAGTCACAGTACAATATGTTAGATTTATTAATGTACTTATAACATTTAGAATTATTTTATGAGCAACGGGTATTGAAATGTGATATACACAGTACAATATGTTAGATTTATTAATGTACTTATAACATTTAGAATTATTTTATGAGCAACGGGTATTGAAATGTGATATATCACTTTCTTATGTCTTGAATCATTAATTGTTTTTAATGTTAATTAACATTAACTAATACTTTAATAGCATGTTGTGAAGGAGGCATACAGTTGAGGGATAATAACATTGGATTCCCTCATTTTCCGGCAATCTCCAGACTCCAGAGGATACCCTGTCAAACGTGAGAGCGAAGATTACTAAAATATATAATTTACTAAAAAAACCACAATATGTTTTTTGTTTAATTAAGAAAAAAAAAAAAAAAAAACAGAGTGATATTATATTGCAGGCAATTCACAAAAAAAGAGTTGGCAGTTAAAGGAATGAGTGGAAGAGTTGTCACGTTGCGGATTGCTGAAGATGCGTCTGCTGTGATTAATAATTATTAATTATATTATCAATGATGTTATGTTTAATTAATTAATAATTAATTGGCCATCGCATTTGCATGCCACTTTCTTGTTGTCATACTATAGCTGTTCCACTATGTTGCTTTGTTTTTTTCCCTTGTTCACCGTGCTTCATGTCTTAATGTCGTACCCTTAACATCACATTATTATTTTAACCTTCAAATTTGTCTTTCTTTAATTTCCCCTCATCCTTTTATGTTGCTTTACTTTTTAACTCTATCTTCTAATATTAAATTATAGTGTTACATGTCAACTTAATTGAGGGAACTATTGATTTTATGATCATAACAATTGTTGACAGGTTAACACAATATATAATTCTCAATAAAATTTGAAAAATGAGCTATTATTATTAGTTCGGCGTCTTTCTTATGCCACTCTGCAATGAACTATCTATGTGAATGGAAATCAGCTAATCTCCATGTGAATATTATTGCCCGGAACTCAGCTGCCGAAGCCAAATGGACCAGACCACCTCATGGGATGCTTAAGCTTAATATCGACGCTGCGCTGGATCAGACCAACAAAAGGATGGGATTCGGTTTTGTCTTGCGCGATTCAGAAGGTTGCTTCATTGCCGCCAGATGCCACCCTTGGCCCCGTGTTTGCAGACCTCATGAAGCTGAAGCCATTAGTGTTCGCGAAGCTCTAAAATGGATCAAGACTCTCCATTTTGACAACTGCCAGATTGAGAGTGATTGCCTTCAAGTTATTAATGACATTTTACATGATCACAGTCTATTATCTTCTTTTAGTCTCATTCTTAATGACATTAGAAAACTAGCTTCTGTTTTTGCTAACGTTAGCTTTTTATTTGTAAAACGGTCTGCGAATAGGGTTGCCCATTTGCTAGCTCGGGAAGCCCTTTCTTTGTCTGACTGTTCGGATTGTTCTTCGATTCCCTTTTCTTCCATTGCTCGTGCTTTGAGCTTAGACATTACTTAATGAATTTCTCGCTTTTAGTTTTTAGTTTTCAAAAAAATTATTAGTTCGAATAAAAACAATTGTAAACGGCTTATAATCCCTTTTTAAGAGTAGAGTATTTATACTCTCAAACTATCAATTAATAACTCATACCACATATGAAAAGTAAATCTATTAAGTAAAAGACATTAATTAATAATTACACGCTTGATCTCTTTAAATTAGAATAAAAAAATTTCAATTGCCTAATTTTAAATATTAATTTTTTATTCTACATATTATTTACTGAAATATGACTTGAGCCTATGCAGAGATTTTACCGTAATAAAAAATGTTGAAATTTACATAAGTAGTAATTATGAATTGTGGTGGAAACGTACGTTTAACAAATGGTGTGGTTGGGCATCGGCGGTTTCAAGTGGTTTGGGTGTCATTTTCAAATTGAGTTGACTGCTTTTTGTTGCAATTTACTGTGAACTTTTTTGAAGGTCATTTAGATGATTATAGTTTTTTTTTTCTTTTATTATTTTTTAATATAACTCTTTCTAATCAGGTTAATATTAAGTTCAAAGTTTAACAGTAAATAAATAGGATGCGTCCAAAGTCAAAATTCCGACATATTGAATTATTGATTGAGAAATGGCATTCACATCAGCCTGACCCGACCATCTTAAGCCCTAAAAATAATTTTAATAAAAAAATAATATTTTTAGAAAACAATCATAAAGGCTATACCTACTCGGACTCTCATCTGAAATTTCATTTTTGCAGTTTCTCTCTTTCTCTCTCTCCCTCCCTCTACAGTATCATTTCCCCTTACAGTGATCTCTAGGGTTTAATCACAACGTTTACTTCCTTCTCTAGCTCTTCCCTTTGCTTTCCAGCACTTATTTGATTCCATTCTTGTTTCAGCTCCAAAATTTGTCTCTTGTTCTGATTTTTGAATATTTTCAAATATAAAAAAGTTGAAAGGGGAAGGATTTGAATTTGAGCTCAGATGGGTATTTGCTATTCTTCGGGCAAGAGCAAGGGAAGCGACAAGGAGCTGGACAGCAAAAATGACAGTGGCAGAAAGTCCGTCATAGGCAGCGTAAGTGGCGATTTCAGCTCATTTTTTAGCAAGCTAAATGGCGGCGCCGGCGGTCCTGGAAGCGGACTGATCGGCGGAGGACTAAAGGAGCGTGCTTTGCATCAGATTCCGGGGAGGCTGTTCGCCAATGGCTCAAGCGCAGTTGCCAGCTTGTTTACTCAGCAAGGAAAGAAAGGAACCAATCAGGACGCTATGATCGTTTGGGAGGTTCGTCACTTTTCTCAGAATTGGCGTGATATGTCTGTCTGTTAGAATAATAAAAATTGAATCTTGATTGAAATAAGTTTCTTCCCAAAATAGCAATGTGGATATGCTGTTGAAATTTGAACTCAAGTAAGCCTGTTCCAATATGTACTGCTAATGTTAACTCAAGTAATCCTGTTCCATTATGTACTGCTATATAATTTATTCTCTGCTTGTACTGTACTTGGCACATGGGTTGACTACGTGACTCAAATTGCTTAGATCTTGACCTGAACGAAATTTCAAAGATTTTTCATGGGTCTATGAGCCTATGTTTAATTTTTTGGTGTGTGTTGTTGGGGAGGGAGGGAGGATCATGGTGACCGATCACACATTTTCAGGAAACTTCAATTGTATGCTTCAAATTCATTTTCTTATTTGTGTATTCAAGCATGTAGTCATGCCTCTCATATGTCTTAGCTTATTCCTAATGTGATCTAATAGCATGGTTGAATATATTGTATAAAAAATATGCATAATGAATGGTTATGAAGAACTAACCTGGGGAGTAGTTGACCTTTGTCTGCTGAATTGAATAGTCAACCAATGATTTTAAAATGATAATGGTCCAATCCTTTTCCTGTTACATAATTTATATTAGCCCATAGTACTTGCTCACAAGTAATTTGGTTTCGTTTGTTTTCAATTGTCAGGTGCTTCATAGTTCATACTTCTGTATGATCCTAAATTGCCTATTTTCAGTTGTAACGCTTTTTGAATCTTGAACTGAAAGTAAATGTTTGATGAAGTATTTAAGTTAGGACATCCTGACTTTTGGCTAGGAAACCTGAGTATCAAGATAAGAAAGTCTTTGCACATGGTTTTTATTTGTTATGTCAAAAAATTAATCAATTTGTTTTGTTTATTGCGTCAGTTTATGACTTGATTGGAATGTTTCTACAATAGAATTTCTGTTCGAGAACCGGGACAATCTTTTGTGGAGTATTTGATGGACATGGGCCTTATGGCCATTTGGTAGCAAGGAAGGTTCGAGATACTCTTCCACTATTGTTGAATGCGGAGTGGGAAGCCAAGTCTACCACTGATCGAACCTCTGGCAATGAGAATGGGGACACCAATGGAAACTCTCAAGTTGATGAATTCGTGGATGATGATTTGTGTGAATCAACAGAAGCTGAGAACAATGAGAAATTCCCTGAAATGTATCTACCACTTAAGCAGTCAATATTAAAGGCATTCAAGTCTATGGATAAGGAACTCAAATTGCACCCCACAATTGACTGTTTCTGTAGTGGGACAACTGCTGTTGCCATGGTGGTGCAGGTAATTCTTAAGGCATACTATTTTAATAAACTTTTACCAGTTACCTGGAAACTGAAGTAAAATAAAGGTACAGGGGCGAGATAATTTTGTTTTATTTTGTGAAGTAAATAGAAGAGAAACAGATCTTATGTAGTTAGTCATTTATTTTTGAGCATTCTGAGTATGTGTATGTATGTAACTGTATTTTGATTGAAAGGATAGGGTCGTCCTTGAGCTACCTCATTTTGTTAAGTCGGGAAATATGAATTGAGCTGATTTTATTTGGCTAATGTCATATGTGATAAGAAGAATAGCAATCAATTTTTCCTTTTTCTTTTTCTTAGGGACAAGATATCATAGTTGGAAATGTTGGTGACTCAAGAGCTATACTGGCAACAAGAGATAAAGATGAATCATTGATGGCTGTTCAACTGACGATAGATTTGAAGCCTAATCTTCCAAGTCTCTCTTTCTTTCTTTATCTTAACCTAATATGAAACAATGTATCTGGATCCATATAAATATAAATTCTCGGGAGACTCTTACTGTGTAATTGTCTACAATTCAATTTTATTCTTTGT